CCTTTCTGGTGCTCCGAAAGACATGAGATTTATCAAGAATACATTTATATTTTTTCTTAGTATGCTTTCGATAAATATTTTAGGGCATGGTATAGAGAACAAGAAATAACAAACCAATGCTGATGATGGACTATCGTAATGAAAGGGATGGAAAGAGGATGTCGAGAAAATTATTTGTAAATAAAACAGTGTGGAATGAATTTCAACTTAGAGGTTGGAGGCTCCACCCAAGCGGCAATATGTTTGAGTCAATTCCCCATTCGCGGAAGTGCCATACGAGTTTCAGGAAAGCTTAATTTCTATATAGGGGCTACCAAATGGATTAGGATGCTCACGAATTCGGAAAATATGCTATATTACCTGACGATAACAAAAAAAATTAAAATCATGCTTAGAAATACTAAATTTCTCAACGCTTCAAAGATAAAAAAAATTATTGTTGATTCAATTAAGGCAAGAAGACTTTTTCGGATATTTCAACCAAATAGAAATTAGTGCCACAAAACTTCTTTAACGAAATCGAAAACTTAATTATTTAATTTAGTAACTTTTCAGTTATGAGAAATCATTAATTTAACAAAGGCCAAAAGTTGAAATTCAGCACAGCAAGATGTATTGAATTCAAAGCTATACTTTTTAATCGAACATTTTGTTTTCTTGTTTTTCTAGATTAGGAACACCTTTGGTGCTATTATACACTAGAAGCTAAACAAAAACAATTTTGCTTAACATTTACGCCTTTTTGCTACTGTTGTAGCTCAACATGTCTTAAATTTAACACCAATTACCAGTTGGACTCTTGACCGACATCTTGACTTGCTATCGCATACAAAGAGCAGAGGTGTTCATGCTTTGCTTTCATATGCTTGCGCTTCTTTATTAACATTTTATTTTATTTTCAATGTTGTTGCTTTAAAAGATTTGCAAGTAACTCACCCACAGTGACCGTTATGAACCTAACGGTTCGTCGTTGGCGCACGAAAGCCAAGCTAATACCATCTTCACCTACATCGGTAGGTGTTCGTATGTGCCGTTAGTATATGGGTGTGTGCCTTAAAAACAATTTTGTTGTTGGTGTGAAAAACCAGCAACTCGACACATCGCCACCGCACAGCGCGCAACAAATCTCCAATTTCCCTTATAAAATGCCCCAATAAGACATTTTTCCCTAGCGCATTTAAGCTGCAATATAAGCAGCACTTTAGATGTCGCTTGAAAGCCATCGTTCAACGCTTGCAAGCAGCCACTGATTGATGACCTGTCCGCTGCGCTGTCCGCAAATGTTGCACGCGTAAGATGCACCACACAGCTCGCTGTGTATATAAATGTATGCGATCGTGTGTGTGTATGTGTGTGTTAGGCTTTTAGTGTCAAAGCATTAACCCCGTGGCACGTTGCAGGTTGCAGGTTGCTAATGCCACCGGTCACCAATCATCGTGCTTACAGCGTACCACCAGCGCTACGAGTGCGACTAAAGTCATCACCCAGACAAGCTGACTGACAGTCACACCCTGCACATATTCGTCGTCTGTCTGTCAATCCAGCAGTAAGAGTAGTTCGTAAGCGTCAGTCCGTTAGTCAGTCAGTCAGCTGTGGAAGCGAGTAAACTTTGAGGTTAAATGCTCAATGATGCAAATGTGTCTCAGTGGTGCAATGCGGCAAACGGTGTATGGTAGCAAGCACAACAACAGCAATAACAATAAGAACAAATGCTGTTGGCGCTGAAAATCAATCATGCAGCAGCAGCAATAGCAACAAAAAACACCAGTGGCACGTCGCAACTGATTTCCCCTACCATATTCATTATTATTGTTGTTGTTGGTTTTGCGGTACACTCAAATGCGCCACGTCGTCTGGCAACTCTAAGACAGTTGGAATAGAAAAACCCGTTTCGAATGTTGTTGGTGAAAAGCGAAATTGCAGTCCACTTTAGTAATACTCCATATTATTTGTGTCGTATCCATGGTCTCCATGGCTTTGGAAGTGAAAGATACCACGTGGCTGATTTAAGATTTCTTTGATAGATGCTCCGATACTCGCACTATGATTCGTTGGGAATTGAAATTGAAATTGTAAATACAAGTATATATACTTGTCTATATGGTAGTTTGTATGGAAGTGTGCATTGCTGTGCAATGAATGTTTGTATGTAATGTATCATGAAGTTATGCTTCGCTTAAGTGAAATAAAATTGAATGCAGATTTACTTTGAGATAAATTGAAAAGCTCCGTGTGAGAGGTATAAATCGTAGACAAACAGTCTTTGAAGTGGTTTCAAAACTATATTGAGTTACAGTTTTAAGACCATTGTTGTAAAAACTTTTTAATTTTTATACGCAAAAGCCTGTATCGGATTTTAGTCTCCGAGCAAGACCAAAAAATGAATATCACCAAGTATTGATGAATCTGCGAAAAATCCTGATGTTTCTTATAAAACTCATTAACCGTTCGGAGGCACGTTAAAACTTTACGACTCTCTATTTGAGAGCAAAAGTCAAGATGAACCCAAGACGGGGAAAAAAACTCGGCAAAATAATGAGCTACTTTGCAAGTACCAATTATATACAATATAACACTAGTGTATCGTTATTACGTCGGCGTAGGCCACTGTTTAACTTGATACAATATCAACAAAATAATTAAGCCAGAGTAATGGATAAGACTGTTGGCAGTCAGCTAGAAAGCGTAGATTTAGACACAACTTAAATATACGGATTGGTATTATTGGTGGTTTAATAACTCGATATAAGAAAGTTTCCGTCGAAAGAAAGTTGCACAACTTTTTGCATAAACGTAAATATGAACATTAAAAAACTATTAGGAAGAGATCGAAATTCTCAAGAACATTCTAGCAGTATTAACTGATATTTTACGTAATTTATTACAAAGCATAATCCAATAAGTTAAAAAATCGACATTTTCAAAACCCCCAATCCTAAAAGTATGTTAGGTTGTTGTATTTGTAAGACAAAATTTGGCTCTTAATGAAATTCCCAAGTGCAAGCAGCTGATTTGTATCCCTAAATAATATGAAACAGAGGCAAAGTGATTATTTACTCGCTAATATCATTTAGAATCGAGATTATATAATATATACAAGTTCATACACCCCCACTTGTGCACATCTACTCGCTTCTTAATATTCGCTCAATTTATCTATTTCAGTTTTCTGGCTTGCAATAAAAGACAATTGAAGGAATTATCACAGTATTTCTGTCGACAGAAAATCCATAGTACCCACAATTCAGTGGGCAGAGGTTGACTTTCATACTATAATTAAAAGGACTGCTCATCAAGCGGAAACACGATGCCTGTTACAAAAATATCAACGAAGTTGAACTCAGATATTTTATGAATCTTAAGCTGTCTTTGATTCGCCAAGCGTTAATCTCCAGCAAACTATACCAGATGCTAAAAGAAATGGTTAGCACTTGTTATGTAAAACTGCGCTAACCTGTCTTCTGAAGCATGCGCAATAGTGTAAAAAACGTTGCAGTAATTTTCATAAATTATGATAACTGATTTAAGTTTTAAAAATACAACAAACAAAAGAAATTTGTATTTTAATTTGTCATTTGACAATACTAAAAGTGAGCTAAAATATGCAAAACAGATATAAGATGAAGATAGAAGTTATACCACTTTAATGAGGTATCCGCATACTCCCTTGCTTAAATTCAATTCGATAACTTTGTTGTTGCTTTCACATGTAAATTTTTCGACAAGAGAACAGAAGCGAGCAGAGAAATGACCAATCGAAGACAGCTTTATTAACTTTACTCCAATTACTCTGAATTATCAACGTATGTTGGTTTATTTTCATATACAAGTATATCCTTGTATGAACAATTCTGCAAGTCTTAAGTACAGAAGAGCTGCACCAACTGGGTGGAATGTTTGAAAGAGCTCAATTTTTTAAACCGTCGTGATTTAAAAATGAACCGTTGTTGTAATTTTCTAAAGAAAAATAGATAGTTATTTAATGAAAAACCTAAATTTTCTAACACCATAATCAAATTTGACTTGGATTGGTCCATTTAAACTGCGCGCGCAAACAGAATAAGCAAAAAAAATTCTAGATTGAAACATGCTTTTTTATGTTCGTGTTCAGCTTGATCTTCACATGTCAATTACTATGTATTTGGCAGCTGTTTGTTTACAACGCGCAAGGTTTGTCTGCGTTTTTAACTATTGAAAAATAACTTTGATTGAATTTTGGTATTTCCAACGGAATCACGATTACGGAATCGTTGAAAATGTTGCAGAAATGTTTCATAAAGCCTACTTTATCACGAACAAAAGCATTTTAGTGGTACCAAGCATGCCGTGAAGGTCGTGAAGTCTTCGAACACTTAGCTCATGCGAGTTGTTCATCCACCTCTGTTAATTACGATTTCAACAAAAAAATTAAAGAAACTATGCTTGAAAATCGTCGTTCTGGCATCAGAGAGATATCAGTAAATATCAACAGCTTTTATGAATCAACTCAACACATTTTGGTTAAAGTTTTGGGTACGGAGCGTGACAATGCTAGACTCGTATTAGAAGAGCTGAAACTTTTGCAAAAACGACGTCGAGTAACGGTTGCAAAGGAGATGCTTGACAACGCAACTTATGCGCTGCATTCATCAAACGCGCTCTTACCGGTGGCAAGACGTGGGTTTATGAATATGACGTCGTAACTGTCCAACAATCTAGCGAATGGCGCTCCAAAAATTAGCCAGAACTGAAACAACCAAAATATTGTACGTTAAACTCACTGAGGCCATCCCAGCCGTGGTCTAAGTTAACAAGTGTATGGAAAATTGGATTAAGCATTGGCATCCTTGTTTTGGCTTTGAAGACGTTAATAAAGATTCGTATTAAGATATGTGAAAATGTCAGTCCGGGTCAAATTTGATCAGATGGTATTGTATCCAGCTCATTTATGATGTACTGTTTGAAAGTGTAACAATATACATAATATATTAAAAGAGTGTATAAAATTTAGTGTCACTTACCAAAAATTTAAAAACAAGCAACTCTTACAACACACAAGCACGTTTCGAGGCAATCTGTAAAGAGGAATAAGAAATCAAAAAAATTAATTTGTCGTGATTGCAGTCGAGTATTGTGAGCGAACAATTAATTTGTTAAAGTGTTAAGTGCTACAAACAGCATGAGAATAACTCCACTCACACACACATTCACACACATAGACGTTGGCATGCAAACAAGCGGGCTTACAAGTTCGTGCAATCACGCGCTCACTCACTATGCCATACGAAAAATAGAGATAAAAAAAAAATGATGCAACTTTTAAACGACAAAAACAAGCGATGGGAAGATGTGCGAAGGGCGATCGCGTGGAAATAATTAAAAGTAACATTCACTTCCGTTCGAATGAAATCGAAATTGAAGCGGCAACGCGAGCAAAGCACCCACCCAACAACAACAACAGCGATGTGAAATAACGTGCACCTGCCCTTGCCACCGCACCGCGCCACTTCCAACGGTAGCAGTTGAGCGTGCTACATACGCTCCATTTCATTCAATAGTCGTCAGCCATGCCACAGCAGTGAGAATTTCCATGCCACAGTGGCGAATTTGGCGACAATGAAGCGACAAAACCGTAAGTACGCGCCAGGGAGGCGAAGCGAATGGGGTGTTAGGTAAAGTGTTGCATGTGCAGCAGACACGTGACGCAACAACGACAATCAGTGTCATACGTTTAACACGTGACGCATGAAAAAACTACTCTCACACACATACATGTATATATATACACACACACAGAGACACATAGAGACACACGCGCTACGGCATTAACATAAACAAAAAGATGTAAGTTGTCGCCTATAAATGTCGCCGAAGACACTGCGTCGCCTGATGCGGCAGACTTTGACACAAGTGGGGCACAGATGCAGCGGAAAATCAGTGCCACAACGCAGAAATTGTGTAAGAAGAAGTAGACGAAGGTGAGTTGCAAGAAAGAAAAAGACAAGAGCAAGCAAGAAATGGCGGAAAATCCGTTGTTACGATGCGCCCCACCGGCAGGCAAACAGCACCAGCAACGGTAACGGCAAATGTGCACAAGATGCTGCCACAAATAACATAAGGAAATGTGCCACACGGCGATGACTGCGTCGCCAGCACGTATTTCAGTCATGAGAAAGTGGAAAGCAAGTGAGAGCGCACACACACACACACGCATAAGAAATTGCGGAAACTTTGCTGGCCTACACAACCTGCAGTGGCAACGCTCGGTTAAAAATGGGCCAAACTTTATGCCGCGACAATGAGGATAACAATGACTTTTTGTTACTGACAACATGCAGCATGCAACACATGTTCACGCTCGCCTACAATTGCTGCTGTTGGATTTATCTCAAAGTTTCCGAGTTGTACTCAAAACGTCTTGAAAGATTTCCGAGGGCAGCGCAGGCAAATGCGTTTTCTTTTTCTAAGCTTCTTTTAGTGAGAAGTAGAACAAATCGTGCAATATGAGCGGCATAAATATGTATGGTTAAAAGTATTTGTTGGCAATACAGTATAGCAAAGTTTGATATATACCGCAATATATCTTACTTAAAAAATATATATAGTGGGTCTATAACTATGTTCGTGCGTTTTGCAAAGACTTTTTGTAATAAAAATCAATAACTTGATTTCATTGTTTCAATATTTCGAACATGCTGAGCGAACATGCCAAAGGTGGTTTGCACGACTTAAAAGTGGTGGCTTTGGCTTGGAAAAAGTAGTACGTACTGGGCCGAAAAGGTGAAGCCGAAAATCTATGACGCCAAAGTAATGTTCTGTAGTTGGAGTGGGATCAAAAGAGCGTACTTTACTATGAACACCCGAACCCAGATCAAACGTTATCAACAACAACTCATCAAACTGAAGCAGCGATTGCTGAAAAACGACCAGAGCGACTAGACAAGAGACAATAATTTTCCATCATGACGCTCAGCCTTATGTTGCAAAACCGGTTAAAAACTATTTGGAAAATAGCGACTGTTAATTTTTGCCTCACCTCCCTTATAACCCAGACCTTGCCCCTTTTCAATATGGATATTTGGATGAAATACAAAAATTGCCAGAATGTTGGGAAAATATTGTAGCTTCGGTTGGGTTATACTTTGAATACTAGTATTAAAAACTATTCTTATAAAATAAAGCTAAATTCAACCTAACTCTACCATAAAAACTAATCAAAATTGACCCTGGTTTATTTAAACTACGTGCTGAAACCGAATCGATAAACAAAATTTATTTCAAATTGTTAAAATCTTTTTTATATTCGGGTGATGTTTGATCTTTATTTTCAAATTAGTGTGTGTTTGGCAGCTGTATGTTTACGAGGCGAAAAGTTTGTCTGGCGATCATGGAAAAAAATTGAACAACAAGTTTGCTTAAAATGTTGTGCTTCGCAATCGTTGTAAATATTCCAGAAGTGTTCTGCAGAGTCTACTTTATCACGTACATAAGTATTTGAGTGGCACCAAGCATTCATTGAAAGCCGCGAAGTCATCGAAAACTTGCCTCATGCGAGTCGTTTATCTGTTCAAGTCTGTTAATGACGTTAATATGAAAAAAGTAAAACAACAGAACAGTGCTTGAAAATCATCGTGTTGACATCCGAGAGATAACATAAAATCTCAAATTCTCTTATGGATGTGGATTAGTGTTTTAGGTATGAAACGTATCAATGCTACACTCGCACCAAAGGACCTGAATGCGCCGACACATTTCAGCATGATTGTGTCTAACTTTTTGGTCAAACACGAAACGAGAACCTTATTTGACAGATTTGGCTCACTTGTTAATTTTCGAAACTGAAAAATACGCCTCAGGGAACGAGTCAAGAGTACACTGACCATTACAAATCATTTGTTGAAGGCACTGAAGGCCATTCCAGCCGAGGTTGGCATGCGTCTATTGGTTCAGGAACCTGTTAGGCGATAATAAAGTATTGTAAAGATTAAAAAACATAAAATTTAATTTCTTTTTTGGTCAGTCTATGTCATAAAATAAGTTGGAGTACAAAAAATTTCACAAACACTAACAAATTTTCCAAAACAACATCAGTTCAACAAAAAAATTCGGTCTCAGAAACTAGGTCAAATGTTAGGTCTTCGCACGCAGTCATAAATTCAACTGTTATTAACTGTAAATATGATTGAAGAGCCCGACGAAGCAAATAAGTTTGGTTTACACTGTGTAAATATGTATATAAAGGTCTCCGCCAACAAATATATATGTATGTCTATGTTAAGACTATTTGACGCCTTTTTCTACATATCACAATCCAACTGACTATCAAATTGATAACAAATATTTATATTGCAACGACCAATACTAACACACAAACGCATATATGCAATTGCATATATGTATATATATATATATATATGTACATGCACAAACGCAAGCAAAAACTCAAAATCACTAAAACAAAACATTTTCATAAAGATAAAAAATAAGAAAACGCGGAAGACCAGAAAACTGGAAACCAAATTAAGCTAGTCAATTCGTGCAAATTGCAACATTTTTGCGCATGAGTGTACACAAATTAAAAATCGAAAAAATTATGCATAAAATTCATTAGCAACAGCATTTATAGATAAACACGAACTGACCCGTCCTCGTGTGTTGCCGCCCCACAACTGTGAGCAGCAATTAAAAAATTCACAACAATGGAGTGCTTCTGCCAGCCAGCCGCCAAGTGGTAATCAACCGGAAAAAATACAACAAAATTTGCATAAAAAATGAAATTGAAAATGAGCACAAACGTGAAAGAAGAAGCGGACAAATGTAACAATAACACAAACAACTTGCAACGTAGTTAGCAATTGTTGCAGCTGTTGCGCTAGCATGCTGTATGAAAACAATAACAGCAGTGCTGTGCAACATTGAAAATGAAAATGAGTTGCGCGACAACAAAAACAACAGTGCATAAAATAAAAAAATAAAATTGGCGCAGACGAAAAACGAGACTGAAATGTAAACAACGCCCACGCGCAGGTATTCGTATGCAAATGTGCGGGGTGCGCACAGCGCTAAGCAATAAGAAGTTAACGGAAATAGCAGCAAAAAAATATGAAAAAATTAAAATGAGAACGATAACAATGCTGCAATTTACGGAAATAACGCCAGACACGAAAATGTGTGAAGATTGAATTACCATTATCTTGGCTGGTGGCAGCAGCGGTAGTGAGTGGCTTTTAGGGTGAAGCATTTATGAAATTAAATGGAATTCGGTACTCTTTTACTAAGAAAAAAATTAAAATTTAACAATTTGAAAAATTCTAAGCTTTAGAAAAATTAACAATTAAATTATTTATATGCATTTAAAAATTATTCTATATAATTTTTTTTTAATTGAAAATTATAAGAACCGATATGAAAGAAATACAAATAAAATATTTAAAAATAGATATAATAGATTTAACATATTATATTTTATAATTGTGTTTGAATATATGTCTGTATTTTTAAATCAAATTTCCGAAAAAGTTTTCTCTATACTTTGATCGTACCTGCACTGAAAAGAGCAAATTGCTGCCATGACAAGTTGCTCATAAAAAATTTTTGGACGTTGGGAGACAGTTTAAAATATATATGCGGATAACCCCAAGACTCACACCATTAAATCACTACAACCACAAACACTAAAGTCAAACGTAAATTTCAAAAAAGTTGCCTATATTTCGGCGCGATGTATAAAAGAACTTGTCATAAAAACTTTTGAGTTAAAAACATATATATTGATACCCTGAACATGATATATTAAGTTTGCAACGAAGTTTGTAACACCCATAAGGAAACTTCGGAGACCCTATAAAATATATTTATATATATATAAATGATTAGCTTGATGAGCTGAGTTGATTTAACCATGTCCGTCTGTTGTATTTTTTCTGAGAAGTCGCTGATCATTTATTGGAACCGCCGATATCAGACTATAACAGATACGTGCCATACAAACTGGAGAGTCAACATTAAATTGTTGTAAGGAAAACTTTTTTATTTGACAAAATATTTACACGCAATTTTGCATGCATTATTATCC